CTGGAGATGAAATAGGTGTCCTCGCTTCATACACAAACCACATCAGACTGAGGCAACAATCCCATTTTCAAAAAGCCATGTGAAATAGACACGCTAACACAAACTGAGCAGAGAGGGAGGGGAGAGGAGGACTAAGGTTGGAGGAGATCCTGAGAGGAGGATTGAGGAAAAGGAGGAGATGGGTGGAAGGATAAAAGATGGATTAAGGTTGTGTTTCAGATTGGCAGGAGCAGTTTGTATGTACTGCATGAGTGTATTTAACGGGTATGCCTTCAGTGGAAACAGTAAGCTGAGACATGTGCGACTTTGTTAGTGTTGTTCCAGCAGTCTGCCATTTCCCCATGTCTCAGAAGGAAAAAGCCTTCTTAACCAACAACATACTTATCTTTGAGTGTGTGTGTGTGTCTGTGTGTGTGTGCACACCTCCTTATATGTGATAATGACAGTTGTAATGCTTTTCTGATATCTACTCAGCTCTGGGACTTCAGTTGCATGTTTGCATCTGTGTTTGTGTGTGTGTGTGTGTGTGTGTGTGTGTGTGTTTGTGTACATGTACTTGAAAATTGCACTTGGCATAGACATGCTTTTAAAAGCTCTTTGTGTGAACACAGGAATGTATCGGAGACAGATAATCTTAAATGTGTGTGTGTGTGTGCAGGGGGAACACTGTGTGATGAATGGTCTATGACAGGTGTTGGAGACGAGATCTCCAATTATCACACTTTAATACCTTTTTTCCTGTTCGCACATAAACACACACCTCGGTGTGGAATGGTGGGGCGAAAAAGAGTGAAAAATATCGTGAGACAGAAGAGTCCAAAAAAGAGAGACAGACTGGGGAGTTTTTAAATTTGTGAACCTGTGTCTTTTATCAACGCTTTACTCGAGCATAATTGTCTTAATAAATCCTGCTTTTCAAATACTGTCCAGGGTCTCAAGTAATAGTTTATTAGACGTCAGTGCAACATTTGGGACCTGAATGAAAACAAACCCATGGAAAACCTCCATAAAAATGAAACATTAAGTTAAAAACAGAGCAACACACCAACTGACAGGCAGCTGCAGGTCAAAAAGAGGATCAGTTAAAGATACTAATTTCTTTTCAGCCGCTAGAGGGTTTGTGTGGGACGCCACTCCAAACCTCTCTTTTCTCCTCTCATCATGTTCCGTTTCCTAGCAACAATCTAAACTACAGATGCCTGGCTGGGACAAACTGGACAAAATGCAGCCTCCAGTCTGAAGCTAGCATTCACTGACTAATGAGTAAATGTGTCAATCCAGTAGAACGCCCCGGTTACTGCTAATGTGACAAAAAAGCACTAAAGTTACACAAAGTTTGAATTACTCCCAAATTAAAATCATATTACGTCAATACAAAGGTAAAATCATGACCATGCTAGAACGCTAATGTTACCAAAACAAACCCAATAGCTTTAGATGCTAACACATCCTGAAGGAAGATCACGACATGTGAATCAAGTTTGAGCCCTTTGGCTGATTTGAACCCTCTCCATCTCAAAAAGCCAAACCAGTGTTAACCCTGATTTTTTTTCTTGTCCCACTCTCTCCGTGCAAAAGAACATGACCTCTTCGCTCTGTTTTTGACTTTTAGCTGCCAAGAACTCCTCAGTGGCTGGATGTTTAAAATGACTACTCACGGTTCGAAAAATGCTTCTTATTACCTTCGCTAGGTGTCAGCCGGGGCTAATTTATAGGCCATACATTAAAAAAGGTTTACAACAACAGAAGGGCTGTAGACAGCAGTGTCATGGAGGGGGGGCAGTATAGCTGAGAGACACCATGTCCTAATCTCTATTAGATAAAGTGAAAAATCTTTGTTAACGTGCCTTTTAACATCTCAGTCAACAGCATTGCTCCAAGTTTCTCTTCATAACACAAGTACTTTTTCATTTATCAACACTTTGGAGAAGTTTCACAATAAAGATTCCCAGCAAAAGGGAAAGTTAGTGCGCTCAGACCCACTGTAAGTCTTTTAAAGGAGTACTCCATCAATTTTACACATGAAATTGTGTGTATTTATTACAAGGAGTACTACGCAGTGTTGCATAAGGTCATCTGTGGCTCTGGAGGAGGTTTCTAAGGTCCAAAGAATTTCATCATCAGTGTTCTTGATGCTGCCTTCTCACTGGTTGTCTGCTGTCACCTCCCTCCTGTGGAAACCTCCCTGTCTTCTTCCATCCTTCCCTGTCATGAAGCGGTGGAGCGACCTTTCTTTCTCCCCCTCCTTTGATTGCTCTGTATCTGCGACATCGGCAAGTTGCCAAATCCAAGCACAATGGCATCATCTAATGGAGACAGTGTGGGATGACTGACACTGTCTTCTGCCTGTCAGTCATCATCACCGCCCTCTAGGAGTGTTTATCTGCAGCTGTGGATGACTGACAGACAGGTGTGTGTACCCCTTCCAACACATTTGATCGTGTGGCGAGTGACCGTTTATTGTAAAATCAGTTTTAAATGATTTCATCAATCCTAACCAGAAAGTTAAGCTGTTTTCTGTGTAAACATTTAAACTGCAGCAAGAAGCCGATGAAATCGTTTGACCTGTGAATATGTGATCAACTGACTGGGTAATGTGAACATGAATGTATTCATGTGTGTGTGACCTAACAAACTTGATTACAAGAGCATTAAGATGTTCCCCAAACAAGATATACTTTCTAATTTTAGTGCTTTATTTAAACATTACAGATTTCTCTTTTAATCAGTAATTCACCAAAACAACCACAATTCAGGGTGTTCTTAGACATGACATGACGTGAAAGACCACAGACCTTCCATAAGACAGAAACTGCAATTTGGAGGCATCACTTTATTGAGTGAAAACTGGGTCTTGGTAGAAAATATCTAGAAGCAAACCTGGAGTTTTCTCACAGGCAGGTTTGTATGAGTTTGTATTAGCTACGCTGCAAGTGAACCTCGTCAGATTCCTCGCATTAGTCTGCAAAACATCTGGTTTACATGGAGCAAATTAATAGACTGCCAGTAGAAATAAAACAGGCAACCTCAACCTGGCATCTTTTAAAAAACAGCTGAAAATCTATCTTTTATTTGTCAGTTTATGATGATGATGATTATTATTAGCTTCTTCTTTTCTGTTTAACTTATTTACATGCGATGCACTTTTAGCTACTTTATTATATGAACTGTGCTGTATGAAATTACTGAAATTGATATTTCTTCATTTTGAATTATATAAAATTCTGTACAAACACAAGACCCCAAATGGCAAAGGTCCTCACATTGTTAAAACTTAACTTTACAACTTCAGAAATTGAATAAAAGCTGAAAGATGATCCTTTTCTGAGAACTTGAAAAAAATAAAACATAAAGATTTGACAATAATATCCCAGACTTACTGGTCCTTTGTGAAATATTAAATGAAATTATGATGCGCTCTCTGCGGGGAGGAATGATCAGCAGCACATAACCCAGCAATAACTTCCAGCTGAGGGCTGCTGCTGACCTCCCACACAGACCCAAGCAGAAAAACAGCCCTCCTAGGATTTTGGGTGAAACCAAAACTGTGTGATTTTTGTGAAAGGTACCTTTTGAAAACAGCTTCTTTATGCCAACAGGTTATCTTTTAATGCATGACTAATAATATAGTGGTTGATTATAATTTTAAAGGGGTCAAAGGTAACTTTATTTATCCCAAAGGGGCCATTTGCTAGTAGCACACATACACCTGCCTGTTTATAAAATGTTTTCTAATTCATTTACTTTCATGTTTTTAGCCCTTAAAACTCTTTACAATGCAACAAGTTGGTCTCTTTACACTGAGCAATGCTTCCTATAAAATACACTTTTAATAGTATCTGCACCCATTAACAAAATTCTTTAAATCTGAAGTATTTGATATTTTTTCCTAAGTTTTGGAGCTTCTGTTTCCCCTGACCCACATATCAAACCATCAGAGACTCTTTTCAACAGCTTTTTGCTATTTTGTTAGAACTGATTCACTGCAGCTACAGGCTGAAAATCACTGGTGACTGTCACTGAATGGGGCCTTTGAAACCATAAAATGGAATTTTCTTTTGTGCGTTCAGTCCCGCTCGTGTTTGTACAGCTCTATATGTTTTTATAGAAGTGTGTGTGTGTGTGTGTGTGTGTGTGTGTGTGTGTGTTCTGGGTGGACAACCACGTCACAGGCTCATGAACTGGCTGTGATCCATGCTGGTGCATACAGTATGTTTGTATATGGTACAGCATGTGTCTGCATGCGAGTGTGACTGTGTGTCAGTGTAAATGTGTGTGTGTATTCACCATGACACAAAATGTTTTTGTTTTTTTTTCTCCAGAAATGAAGGGGATGTGAGCTCAGTGTTGAGCCCCAGTTCAGAGTTCTGCAGACGGGGTGGCCAAGCATCCTGCGGGGCTTGTGGCTCCGAGTCTGACCTGGAGAGCGTTCCAGATCTGTAAAGATGTGCCCTCAGCCGAGAAGAGGTTTGTGTGTTTGCATGTGTGGCTCTCACTGATTAGCCTGACAATCTGCTTATTGATTTCCTGGTTAATGCTGTTCCCAGAATGACAGGCAGACAGAAAGGAGGAGGAGGAGGAGGAGGAAGGGCAGTTTTAAGAGATATATGATTGTGCTGTTAGTTTCTTTGGGCAATGACAACAACAATCAGTGACTGTATTTTTAACTGACCACATAGTTTTGCAACTGGCACATCTACAGAACTGTTAAGTTGGTGAGTTCATATCTAACGCCTGAAATGCCAAACTAACAATAAACCCACACTTTCAACACTGCACAGATTTCTTTATGAAAAAATAAACTATTTTTTTCATTATTAATCTTTATGTACAGTCAACAGATGTGAAAAGTCCTTAAAAAAACATTTCACATCTAAGATAAACATTAGATGAACAAACAAAATAAAAGAAATAACTAAAGGTCATTAAATAACCAGAATTCTTACTATGAGCGGTGCCTTCTTTGTAGAACTCAGTTTGACTTGCTCAACAGCACAGCGGTGACATTCAGGAAATCAAAGCATTTCCTCTGCGTTTCGGTCTTGGACACACATCATTCAGGCAGAGGTTGCTCTGTCACAAAGTGAAGTGGTCAGTGTCCTCAACTCTTCTTGTATTTTGTTTTGTTAAATTATAGGCCTTTTTCACAGCAGACATTTTGACTTCCCATAAAAAAAACCAATGGCTGGTTTCACACAGACATTTCAGTCTGGTTTATATTGCCTGAAGTTTTTTCTTAGTCTAATGCAAGTTGGACAGTTTCACAAAAATAAAGACTGACTTGTTTTAAGGCTACAAAGCTCAGCGCCCTAGCCTTAGGCTAACCTTTAACTGAGACCTGTGTCTCCATGGTAACAAATGGACAAAAATGGGGTAAACATTGCTTATAATGTGGGATTTGTTGATAACAGGGAGCAAGCAGTGAGAAGATGAAATGTTTTAGATGGTTTTCTGTTGTATTGTTAGGTTCTTTGCTATTTTGTCCCATTAAGCAAGTACTGACATTCTTTTAAAGCACTAAAAATACTCCTTCTCAAGTTTAGTATCACTGGTGTTATATTATTATATTATGTATTATTATTACTGATGCAACATTTTACTTAATATGAGGCTAAATCGTATGTTATTCACTGTTGTGTAGTTTAATCTACAACAGTTAGATTATTCTTACAACCTTTTTATGGGCTTTATGTGGAATTCTTATTCCAAAAAACTAAAATCTCTCAGTTAATGTAGTGGAAAGAATAGCAGAACATGTCCCAGTGAAAGGGTTAGTGAGTAGAAAGTAGCAAAAAACTAAAATGCTCAAATAGTACAAATACCTTGGAGATCACATTTAGTTACACTGCATAACTGCTGATTAATGAAGCAGGTTGCAATGATTAGTCATTCAAGTCAATCAACGGTTAATTAGCCTGCAACTATTTTGTTAATTGGTTAATTTTTCAAGTAAAAGCACAAAGCATTCCATGATTACAGCTTCTCAGATATGAAGAGTTGCTGTTTTTCTGTGACATACGTTATCAGGTTTTTTTACTGTTGGGTTTTAGATATTAAAATGGACCTTTTCCCAATTTTCTGGCAATTTTTGTCAGCAAAACCAGAAAACATTGACAACAAAATCTATGTATAATTATGATCTACAGATTAATCAATAATGAAAATAACATGTAGTTGCACTCTGATATGTTTTTGCAAAATTACTACAAAGTTATTAGACACTTTCTTTGGTATCCAGTTACATCGTTGCAACTAAAAATGAACACTCAGACATTAAATGGCAATTACCCATGAAACTTTTCTAGAGAAGCCACTAAATAGAAAGAAACAGTATTTTAGGGGCTGTGTTTACTGGGAACAGATGTGGCTCAGGCTGAGTTGAGGACAGCACATTTTCAGCAAGCTCAGAATGTGGTCAACCAAATGGATGAGGACGAGATGAGCAGGACGTCCCTGCTGAAAGCGTTTGCATCTGTGTCTTGCATTTTGGAGCCTCTGCTGTCTCTGATTGTATGTTACCTTGTATTGTTTAAATCCTCCTGGGCACCATAATCCACTGCATGTGTTAAAACATGTTTGTCTGTCTACATGGGTTTTGATGCGTGTGTGTGTGTGTGTGTGTGTGTGTGTGTGGGTGTGTATTGTTGTTGTTGTTGGTGTAGTCCCTTGGTGGCTGTTCCCCCACTGTAGACGCCTGTTCTGGCGATAGCATTGTCTCCATGTCCAAAGATCTGCCGGCTGCCCTATTCCACCACATCTTTATCATGCTAATACAGAGAAAGAAGGAACGAGGGAGGAGGGAGAGGGGAGGAGAGAGGAGGGCGAGGGAACGATAGCTCCACAAACAGAATGAAAGGGGCAGCTTTCCCCTCCTCTCTCCATTCTCACCACCTCCTCTGCTCTACCCCTCTACGTCCCTTTCTTCTCGTCCCCGCACCCTCTTCATCTGCCGCTTTCTTATCTTCCCCCTTACTTCTTTGATAATCCCTCCGTACATTGTCTTCATAATTACACACAACAATGATTCCCATCCTTGCAAGAGAAATGTGCACCATGCATAGAGAATATTTCAGAGATGAAGGCCAGTGTGTGAATTAATAACTTTGGCCTCTCATATAGGATTGTTTCTGTGTGTGTGTGTGTGTGTGTGTGTGTGTGCGCGAAGGGGGAGCACATAGACCCCAGTGTTGTTTTAACACGACTGTTACATTATGCATGCTGACAGCCCTGCCTGTCCCCATTAAAGGCCCATCTTGTTTCCCCATTATATCTGGTTTCCCTGTTAATAGAGCTCTTTGTGTGGCACTTCCCTTTATACTGAGGGTGTTAGAACAGAAAGGTCAGTGCTGGTACAACCTGCCACAGGACCCTGAATGAAAACAACGGCCCTGTCCTCTCTTTACATCCCTGCTTTTGGGAAGGAGGTGTGTTGCACTATGTTCACTACCTCTTCTTTTGTTTTGTGCATTAATGAAATTAGTTTCTATACCATTTTCTAATAGGGCATACATTATAGAGGATTTAGAAGTTGTAATTAATTGCTTTATTAATGTTTTAAAAAAGCATAGTAGTAGTATATGCTGCTGTATTCACACATGGGCTCACTCAGGCCCTTTTCAGACATGCTCTGGTACCCTGATATTATCCAGACATTCCCTGGAAGAGCTGTATGTGGGAATGCAAATGTCTGAGCCATTTGACCCGGGCATTAAACGGACTTTCCCCTGCCAGCTCCCTAGTGCAAAGTCTGAGTGAGCCCATGTGCGAAAGCAGCACATAGTCCTGAAGGGTTACCCAGTTCTTGCTACCATGTTAACTCTGAGAGACGAGGCAGTCCAAGTAACTTCAAAACAGTGCTGATTTATTCAAAGGATCACAGGTAAAATTAACATTACACACTCAGGTATCTTGCACCTCCAAACTGCACGCAGGCAGATGAAAGATGAAAGACCCCGAACCAAACCAGGCCTATACATTTATCTCTTCGGTTGGGCTAGCCCCATACTACACAGAAACGTCAACCGAGACGTCTCTGTTACCAGCTTTGCAGCTGGTCATAGCAGTAGTCAAAACATGAAGTAAATCAATGTGTGTGTGTCTGTTGATTAAGTGGTGTGTAGCTAAAAACATTCTCACACGACTTCTAGTGACATGTCGTGATATTAAACATAAGAACATATTATGGCTAAGGCTACAGTTATACACATCATAATAATAATATTAAACACCCTGTCTGCTGACAGTCATCAACTCTTCTCTCTAGTTATCCTTGACCAGATGTACCCTGTAGAAACTCATAAGCATGACTAAGCATTTAACAGTCTAACTAGACATCCTATCTCCACTAAACATTTCTAATACATAAAGTACCTAACCAATATCTATCTGACTAAAAATACCTAACAGTCCAGAGCATTCACAGCAAGCTAGTGTTGATGACGTTCTATCATGTGGCCAGCACGAAACAGGAAGAATACAAACATCTATTGGTGAAAAAAAAAAACAATCATTTCCAATGAAGGCACCAACAAAAATATCTGACTGAATATGAGTTGGGATCTCTTACTGTTGAGAACTGGTTCCAGAATCATCAGACAAATTTAATTTAATTAACATGTGTGAAAGGGTAACTCTGGATAATGTCTGGACCCAATTCCCCTGCCATTGTCTAGCGTTTATATGTGAAAACAGCATCAGACATTAATTAGACTTTGTACTAGGGAGGTGGCAGGGTAAAGTCTGAATAATGTCTGCGCCAACTGACCAGGACATTTGCATTCACACTGACAACTCCTCCAGGTAATTTTTGGGTTGCAGTGCATGTCTGAAAAGGGCTAGAAGAAGCAGGAGAACATCTGTATGTGCAGACTTGATGGGCTATTTCATTTCCTAACATTCCCCTTTCCAGTCTACTGGCTTATTATACAGCAGAATTCTTATGACTCTTGATTAATGACTTTCTTTCTAAAAGCATGTCAAGTCTGCTATTACAGAAGTTTCCTTCATCCATCCACCTATCTCATCAATCAGAAGCTGAGCTCAACAGATAAAAAATGAAATATTTAACAACAAGTTGCATTCCTGAATGAACTAAAGCCACATCTATGAATCTGTCCTTATTTTAGTACCCATAATTCTGTGGGTTTGGCATGTTTGTACACGTTTCTATCCAAATCCTGTCATAACTAGAAAAATGCAGCGAGAATGAGAGTGGGTTTATATTTGCCTCAAATCCATCAAGCGGTTTAACGTACTTAGAAATCCTCCATCATCACAAATACTCTGGAGTGACTTCATTATAATAACTGCATGAAATAATATCCCACTCCTGCTGCCATCTTTTCTCTTCACCCTCTTCTTTCCCCCCTTTTGGGGTTTTTCTTTTTTCCCCCTTGGTACTTTTTTGACCTCCTCGCCCCAATCTTTTCCTCTCTCTCTGGAGTCCACTGTGGGCAGGCCTTTGCCAG